CTCGACCTCTCTCCCGGCAGGACGTGGAGGGCATCTTCAGCCGCGTGGCGGACGTCCACGAGGCCACGGCCAAGATGCTGGGCCTGCTGGAGGACGCCGTGGAGATGACGGACGACGGCAGCCCCCACCCGCTGGTGGGCAGCTGCTTCGAGGACCTGGCCGAGGTCGGCCGCCCCCCACCGCCGCGCTTTCTTCTGTCTCTTTTGCTACCCCTCCCACCCCACGCGGTTTCCTCTCCTCCCGCCGCGCAGGAGCTGGCCTTTGACCCCTACGAGACGTACGCTCAGGACGTGCTCCGCTCCGGCTTCCAGCAGCACTTCCTCAGCCAGGTCACCAAACCCGGCGCGGCCTTCCACTTGCAGGTGAGCCCCGCCCGCCCGCCGACCTCCGACCCGACCCCCGTGTGAAAAAAAGTCCATTTCCCGCCCGCCGTGTCCGCAGTCCATCTGCGAAGGCTTCAAGGAGGCCGTGCAGTACGTCCTGCCCCAACTGCTGCTCACGCCCGTCAACTACTGCCTGCACCTCTTTGACATCATCAAGGTAAGCCGCGAGTCGCCTCAGGAAGACCGGAGTCGCCATTTTTGTTTTGCGGGGGGCCGCGGCGCCACTGAGCCACGCGCGCCTTTTGTGCGCCGCGTCGTCGCAGCGCCTGGAGGAGAAGAGCGAGGACGAGGAGGACAAGGAGTGCCTGAAGCAGGCCGTCACGGCTCTGCTCAACCTTCAGAGCGGCGTGGAGAGGATTTGCTCCCGCGGCCTGGCCAAGCGCAGACTCAGGTCCGTTATGGGAAGTTAGCGGGAGGGGGGGGCGGCGACGACGACGACAAAAAGCAGACGGACGGAGAGCAAACGGGCTCGGAGCGGAAGCAGACGCGCGCGGCCGAGACGGGACGAGCCGGACGATTGACGGGCGGCTACAAAGACGTAAGTGCGCCGAGCGCCGGCGTCCCGTGACGCGGCGACGCTCATACCTCGGGGGTTTATGTGCTAAAGTGATTAGCCGAGGATCAGCGCTCTCCGGCCTCACGCCGATCGCCTTCCTCGCTTTGGTCACGCCGTGAATTCTCGTGGTACTTTTTGAGTACGATTCGGAATCGAAGCCGGAATCGCCGGCGGCAGGACGGGAGCCGCGATCGAGGTTTCGATTCTTCACCCCCGGAGTCGGGATCGGGGCCGAGCTCCGCCGCGACCGCCGTCGGTCCAAAAGGTGCAGATCTCGGTTCGGGACGAGAAGCGGGATCCTCGCTACGGGTACAGATCCGCTTCCAGGACCGTAATCCATAACTCGGATCGGTACTTTGAGCCGGCGACGGGGGGGGCGAGTCGAGTTTCAGGTCGAAGATGGGAGGGCGCCGTAGGTTCACGGTCAGGACCGGTGAAAAATCACAATGATTATATCCCGGACGAGGGTCCGGGGGCTCGGGGGCCGGAATTAGGATCCGTCGTGGAAATCGGGTCCGGGACGAGGACTAGAAGCGAGACCGGGGGTTCGGTTTTTCCGAAAGAACGCCGGCTTTGAGGGATTCGGATCAGTTTGGGGCGGCGTCCGCTCGGCGGTCTCACGCCTGCGCGGCGGACGCCGCCCCCCCCCCCCTCCCCCCGCAGTGAGTCGGCGTGCCGCCTGTCCGGCCGGCAGATGAAGGGCAAACACTCGGCCGTCAAGAAGATGAACGAGATCCAGAAGAGCATCGACGGCTGGGAGGGCAAAGACATCGGCCAGTGCTGCGACCGCTTCATCATGGAGGGGACCCTGACCCGAGTGGGCGCCAAGCACGAGCGCCGCATCTTCCTCTTCGACGGCCTCATGATCTGCTGCAAGTCCAACCACGGGCCGCCGCGCCTGCCCGGCGCCGGCTCGGCCGCCGAGTACCGCCTCAAGGAGAAGTTTTTCATGCGCAAGGTGACAAATACGCCTGAGAATCGGCGGGCAGGCGGGCCGCGCCCAACGTCCACGCCGTGTTTCGCCAGGTCCGGATCAACGACAAGGACGACAAGGAGGGCGAGTACCGGCACGCCTTCGAGATCGTCCCGAAGGACGGCAACGGCGCGGTGTTCGCCGCCAAGTCGGCCGAGGAGAAGAACGGCTGGATGGCGGCGCTGGTCTCGCTGCAGTACCGCGGCACGCTGGAGAGGATGCTGGACGCCGCCGCGCTGCGGGAGGACCGGGACCAGCGCCCGCGCCTGCCGCCGCCCCGCCTCTACCGCTTCGCCCAGCCCGACTCCGAGGAGAACGTGGTCTTCGAGGACGGCGCCCAGTCCGCCTCGGGCATCCCCGCCGTCAAGGCCGGCACCGTCCTCAAGCTCATCGAGAGGCTCACCTTCCACATGTATGCCGGTGAGTGGCGTCGGCCGTTGGGCAACCGGCGACGGACGTTCAAACCGATCGGCCCGCAACTGATCGATAAATCTTGACGAGAATCGGGGGGGGGGGTCGGGCGCACCCCGAAAGGGGCCCGGGATTGATTCGGAAGTACAGTCAAACCTCGCTTTTTCGGACTTCATCCGTTCCAGAAGACTGTTCGAAAACCAAAACCATGTTTCCCATTGGAATCCATGTAAAAAATTTTAAGCGGGAGCAAGTCAGGAAAAGAACTTTTTTTTTAAATTATTTTTTTTACAATTTCACACCATAACCTGTACAAATGGAATCGGAGAGCAGAGCGCGCGCCCCGCTAGTCGGCACCCTTCTTCCTCTGCCGTCCTTCCTCCCGCAGATCCCAATTTTGTCCGAACATTTCTGACGACCTACAGATCTTTCTGCAAACCGCAGGAGCTGCTGGAGCTGCTCATGGAGAGGTAGCACGCGCGCACACATACCGCCGCAGGGGGAGGGGGGTGATGACGATGCCCCCCCCCCCCTCCCCACCCCTGTACGTGTTCAGGTTCGACATTCCCGAGCCCAGGCCCGACGACGCCGATCACCCGGACGGAGGAGAGCGGCCCCTCGGCGCGGAACTCAAGCGCTTCCGCAAAGAATTTGTGCAGCCCGTGCAGCTCAGGTACGACGGCGTCGCGGGGGGGGGGCCACTTTGAAATACGCAGCGCGCGTGTCAACCGTCGCTCCGTGTCCCTCCGGCAAGGGTTCTCAACGTGTGCCGCCACTGGGTGGAGCACCACTTTTATGACTTTGAGAGGGACGTGGCTCTGCTGGGGCGGCTGGAGGACTTCATCGCGTCGGTCAGAGGTGAGAACCTCACCCCCC